TATTTATTTATTGTTTTAACGTGTTGTGAGCCACCCAGAGTCCCCCATTGGGGGGAGATGGATGGGGGACAAATTTAATAAAAAAATGTTCGTAGTTAACGAACATTTACAAGTAACTCAGTAACATAAATCCATAGTGCTTGGAAAAAAGAAAAAAGATAAAAATAGATAAAAACAAATAATTAACCTCTTCACATCTGCCGTACATCAAGAGTGTTACTGATAGTTAAGACAATGTGTAAAATCCACCCAAATTTGGTAGAATTGTTATTCCTGCCTGTGTTGTTTCATTTCTTCTAATTTTAGCTGTAAGCTTTTCTAGCATGGTAATTAAGAAGCTTTATTGATCCATATCTCAATTATTAGGCTAAGTTTTTCCATCAATCTGTGATTATTATTTTAGCTGGTGAGATTAAGTAAACAGTAAGTTCATTTTTTTAAAACTTAAGGTTGTGTAAACATATGCAGTAACCCTAACTCTCGGGAGCATCCAGTTCTTTGTTTTCTGGTGTAAATTTTTCAGAAGGATATACATTTATCACATGACCACCGTATATTTAAAAAGACCCTCTTTTTGAACATTCTGTCCAGAATTTAGAATAATTACAATATAGACAGTATACACACTAATCTAACCAGGGTCAAATACCAGTGGTATGTGCTTCCACTGAAGCTCTTGTATAAAAGCTAAAGTGAATCTACCTGATTTCCATAATGCCTGCCATTTCTTCCCCACAGCTTTAATAAAATCAGTATCTCAAGCTTCCTTTAAGCCAAAGGGTAATTTCCTTTTCCTAATTGTAATAATAGCCTATACATTTTTGATGTTGTTCCTTTTGGTTGTTCTAAATAGTTAAATATATTTTCAAAAGTGATATAAGGGTGAATTGCTAAAATTCTAATCTCCTTATTAGCCAATAATGGTTTAAGTTGTTACCAAAAAAAACCATTGTAGCTGGTTGTTGCTTTATTTGTTCTTTATTGAGAGGTTCCATGTTATTATAAAAATCTTTATTCTTTAAAGATTACAACTTCTCAAAAGTTTTTTCCCATAACATATTAACAGCACCACCATTCATCTAAGGACTTTACCCACTCACTTTGCAGTCCTAACTGCTCTTTCACAGAGTCAGGTTTTTAACATTTTGTTAAATATCAGGAGAGAAGGTACAGATCTTCTATCTTGTAGTAGGATGTTTCACAAGAGGCAAAATGGTTTATGAAAAGTAGGATGAAGCCAAAGTAGTTAAAAGAAAATATTAAAGTGGACTGAATGGCCAGAGCGAGATTGGAGAAAAGTTACAGTATTCCAGTGACATAAGTAGGATGGAAGGAAGGATGGAAGGAAGGATGGAAAAGGATCAGAAACTGAGTTGAACAGAAAAAAAAAAAAAACAGGGAAACCGCATACCATTATAAAGACTGCTTTTTATTTTACTCCCATCATAAAGCAGATGAAGTCACAAGCCCCCTTGTGACAACTCTATGAGTAATCCTTTACAATTATCCTTTTTCCCCAGAGGTATTTATTCCTGAATTCTTTCAGCTTTTAACCCAGATCACCTCCTTGCACAACTAAAGTGCAGTGTCAATACTGATTTCTCACAAAAGCAAATCCAATTTCTACATTTCAAGCAAGGCAATGCAAAATCAGTTAGTTCCCCTTACATCGGAGTTCAGCCCTTTCAAACATTTTCTGCTCAATGACCCATAAATTAAGTGGGGCAAGGAGATTTTCCTATTTCTCTCTCTCTCTCTTTGGGTATGTGATTGATAGTTTATATATCTCACCTTGCAGGGAACATGCAATCATGCTCACGGTACAACCTCTTCTCAATGATCTGGTAGTGTGTCCCAAGCTTTCGACTGACTGCTTCTGACAGCAACTCTTCAGAGATTCCCTCTCGAAAAGGAGCCAAGTCTTGTTCCCTAACTCTAAGGCGAGAGAGATTTACCCATTGTCAAGCATATTAGAGGAAATTAGTATAACCACAGTTATCAAAACAGTTAGGAATACATTTTTGCCTGGCAAAGATTCAGTGCAGATTTAGGACCAGCCCTACTATTTGGCAAGGTGAAGCAGCAAATGCAGGGGGGAAGGATCACTGGTACCAGCCATCTCCCCAGCTACTCCTATTCTCCTGAGCCTTTACCTTGGTGGGCTGGTTCTATATTGTTAGTCTGATGAATGTAAGTTCTCTTGCTTTGCCAGCTGGCCTCTCCCCAAGTGTCATGGGCAGCACTGTTGGGATGCCGTGGGTCCCGTCTGCCAGAGAATTACATTTGGCGTGTCCCAGAAGGCTGGCCTTCTCTGCCGTGACACCCACCTTGTGGAATCTTCTCCCCCCATAACTGAGATTAGCTCCATCCCTCTTGACATTCTGCAAGTCCCTCAAGACCTGGCTATGTGATCAGGCCTGGGGCTCCCAGGAGACCGGGGAGATTTTACAATGGCTCCCTTATTAATTTTATCCCCTCCTATTTTGTGTATTTTTACAGTTTTTTTA